TAATTTCAAATTCTCAATATAGAATATAATTACATACTTTGTCTGTGGTATAGATTTCAAATTCATATCTGAACCTTACAAATTCGTATAGTTTAAAAAGGATGGTAAAATTTATAGTCCAAAATCCACTTGATTCCAAATTAACCCTTTTTTTAATTAGGAAAAATAGCCTTCATTGATACTGGAAAAAACCAAGTACAATCACCAAGAAAAACTGAGATGGTGCAGTTTTCCACCTTTGGAGATTTTTTTAAAGCAAAGTTTTAATGAGGCTAAATAAACCCATTTGATTACAAATATGGTTCTGAACTGGCCCTGGTTTTGGATCATATTTCAATCTGATTTTTTTTTTAGACATGTGTCACTTTTGGGCCTTAAATCGATTCCCATGCAAATAGATGGTTTCATAACCTAATAAATCAAGTATTTTTTTTTATTGTGGGTGAGAAATTTTTGGAAATAAAGAAATAAAGAAAAGAAAATTGACTATGAAAGTTAATTCTTGGTATTTTAGAAATTCAATTCTGGGCAAAATGTACTTAAGTTCATACCAAACTTTTTCTGTTGGATGGTTGCGTTGTTATGCAAGATTCAAACTCTGATTTGCTTTTTCTTAAATAAAAAATAAAGGTTTGAGTTTCTCGTTATTTTCCTTTCTCCAAGACCAAAAGCTGAAGATATTTGCTTTGGTTTCTGTCAAATTAAAATTTTGAAATTCTTCTTCATCAAATTTTTTTTTGAAATTCTTGACAACGAAGACGAAATGAGTAAAGGCAATTGAAGAATTAGAGACGGCGAGAAGCTCTGCAGCATCCATAGCCTGGTCAGCTATCAGCCTGTATACACAACTGAGCTGAAGTATGATACAGAAATGTTTCATCTGAATTTCTGTGATGTTTTCTTTCTTTTTTCATCCGCAGGGGGGAAATTACGAAGAAAGGCTAGTTGGTGCATAAAATTCTTAATGATGGCTTCAATTATAAGTAACAAATCTTATCACACTCCAATACAAATTATTGTCATTGCCCTGTACTTTCAGTATAATTTCACCTACATATAACTCAATCTTATAGGACAATAAGTTGTTTGGTTTAAACCCTGAGATCAACACTCTGCCATAGGAAACACAGATCCAATTCTGTCTCCGAAGCGATAGCATTTAATGTTAACTTGGTATGGACCCAGCTCAATATGGTTGTCCTCTCCACCCATGAAGAAACACAGGGTGTACAATGCAATTTCAAATTCTGGGCTCACTCCAACTAAAGTGCTTGATACAGCTTTCAAAACACCGTTCCATTCGAACTGGATCGTAAGCAACTGGGTTTCAGAGTCTGGCTGCAATTGCAATTTAGTATACATAATACTTTCCAAGTCAGAGCAGGACAAAAATTCATATTCAAGAATGGCAGGTTTCGAAAAAAAATATATATATATGATGAGATGATGCTAAAAGTTCAGTTCCTTCCTCACGGGGCAGCAAAAATAGGGAAACCATTCTTTACCATAAACTGAACATAAAATGAAGTTCTGTTCGAAGCAAAGCTCTGAATTTGCTTCCACAGTAATGAATTCTTCAAGAGTCTCAATGAGATTATTAAGATATTTAATGTTAAAATATGATTTAGCATGTTAACACTGGAAATAGAAACAAAAAAGAAGGACAAATATCTTTGCGCAAGTCATCAATGCACAGCCTCAAGTCTCAAATTGTGAGACCTTCATGAGTTATTCTTGCATCTTTCTACAGTTGGAATCAACTCTGAGAAGTCATTGCATTACTTATCATTTACTTCTCAGTTAATAATTTCTTGAATGTTTTGTTACTCGTTTCAAGTAATATCATAATTAAATACCCTTAAATGTGATGCAAGAAAGTGTAAGAAAGCTTTATCTCGTTTCAAGTAATCCCATTTCCACTATCTTGTAGCCTTGTAGGCAGAACACTTGATAGAATTACTTACAGTTTGCCCACGTCGACGGGGGAAAATATAACCTTGATAGTCAACTCTTCCTTTTGCTTCTTCAAGGTAAAACTGGGAAGATATAGAATAAAGATACTTAGCATTCACGAGTAAGACCACTTTAGATAGATGGGAGAGAAAAAAAAAGAGACAAGAAAATAATACCGAACACACATCTGAATTAACATCATATTTATGTTGACATGATAAGATACAATAAAAATGCAAAATATAGGTAAAGAGTAAGTCATAGAAGACAACCTGAAGCCAGTTGTGGAAGCCCGAAACCTCTTCTTCACCACGTTGCTTAATTTCTCCAACAAAAACGTGTTCAAAAGCAGAGGAGGAAGCAGATGTACCACCACGGCCATAGAGATCAAACCAGAGAGTGGTCAATGTTCTTTTAAAATTTTGATAGCTCTCAGATAGAATGCCCTTGTGTGAGAGATACTTGTGAAGATATTTAATGGGAGCAGTTCTGCTGATTTCTTCTATGAATGCAGCCTGCTCTTGCTTCTCCTCAGATGTGATAACTTCTTTGCACCCCTCATTTGGGTTGTAATTATCTAAAAGAGAACAGAAACGAGAAAAAGTAGGTCTCCTGAATATATCTTCACTCAGCCAGGTAAATAAGCTGCCTTCTGCCAAATCTTCCTTTTGGTAGACCTTCTTCCCTCCACCACAGTCAATTTCATAGTCCTTTCCAGGCACTAAACGGTTTAAATCAAGTTCCCAAATTTTACTGCAAGCTCGTGACAGATCAGAAAGCTCTTCTTCAGAAGGTTCTATTTTAGCACCTACTTCAGCCTCATCAGAGTATTTTTGCTCAGTGGAAGGCCGTTTATATCCATTCCACTGGCCCATCTGAATCTGTTGATTTTTTATTTAGCGAGCATTACATAAGGAGATTACAAATTCATTTTTTTAAAACTTAAATTAATAAGACAAGACCTCTAGGAAATAGAATAGATCAGAATGTTATGAACTTATAATATTGCATAGTCAACAAGGAAAAAAAGGAAAAGTAGCAGAAGTCTGTAATTCATATAATTCAAGATTAATTTCTAATAGCTTCAACTCAATAGAAGTACAAGTTAGTTAATGCCCTACATGGATATTGGATGAAACTGTTTCAAGGCTACAAGCCCAACTTATCTAGGAAAACATCAAATGCAGCTAAGAAGCCAATCTACAGAAAAAACAAACTATAACCCAACATCAAAAAGTTAAGACCAAACTTTTTGACAGTTTACAGATTATGCTGCCCCAAGATAATGAAAATGGAACCAATATCTGTAGGTGCCTTTTTGATGTTTGATAAACTCAAACGAAGAAAACAAACCTTGTGTGGTTGTTGCCTTGGAGGCCTCTTTCCAACAGTCTCCCAGCCATCCTTATTTTCCTCTTCATCCTTCAACATGGATAATAAAATATAACCAAAATGTTCGAACTGAATCCCACTAAATTAAAATTAATCAGATAATTAAAATAAGACAAACCTTCCTCCTTGAGTAGTTTTGGTTATAACCATGTCGTCCACCATCATCATTCCTTACATATCCCTCATGTGCAGCCTGCATTTGAGATATCTGTGAGGATATGACACATGAAGAGATAAAAAGGACATCCACAAAACAAAAAGGTCACTTAAGTATGATGATGAAGATGATAAGTTCTTTCGAAACCATGAATACTTTCTTTCATTATATCATCCATATGAATATGATAACCAATAGAGAAGCCTGATCCTCTATGAAAAGGAAGATTATCGTTAAATTTCATTGTTCCTTATGCTTCAGTCATTAAATTTTGGATATTATGTACAAAAACCTGAAGATGTTTTCTTTCTAGAAAATGGGTTCTTCAGATTTAGAACAATGATCTTCAACAAATCCAATCTACCACAAATCCAAATCCCATAACAAAATTTCAAACAAATAAGTAAATTAACTACTTAAACTATACAATTCACCTTGTGGGGTCGCCTTGAAGGTTCCGAATCCACATTGTCCCACTCTGCACGCCCCAAATGACTCTGTTCCTGCAAGTTTTCACACTTGCAGTTCACATTAATTTCACAGTAAACAAAACCAAAACCCAAAAACCCCAATGCAATCCAAACCAAACCTGTCGATTCCAATGACTCTGCTTGGACCCATGTGGGCGATCACTGTCATTCTCATCTTGCTCCTCCCCGGACACTACCTGCGCATTTTAGCAGGTACAAGCAACACCAAAATTCAAGTCTTTATCTAAGATCCAGAAATTCAAAAGGCTTTCGAAAAATAAGAGTGGTGGTAGCTTACCTGAGCCCAGGTGGATCTGGACTGTTCCTCCCGGTCCCGTGGGCCCGGATCTTCATTCCTGTTCTCGTCGTGACCGAGCGCCACATCGATCAAACCCTTGATCAGACCCTCCATTGAATTTCACAGATGGAAAGGTGAGAGAGATCCGAAAGGTTGAAGAAGATGAAGAAGGTAGTTAGGAGTGAAGGAGTGGCGGGTAATGGCAACTTTGTAAATAAGGAAGTGTAAAGTGTATTGATTTGATTGGATTGGATTTGGCTTTTTTGGGTCAACGATTTCATAACCATTTTGTTAAACAAAAAAACTTATTGTTATTTTGGATATTTTTTTAATAGCATTACTTGGTTCCTTCAAATTGAGTATGAGTTCCTCCTAAATACCAATGTGATTTGACATTGACATTTGTTAAATTTTATCAAAACTAGAAAGAAAAAAGAATATTAAAAAAAATTTAACGAGTGTCAAATTTATGTGATTTTAAAGACGGATTCTTCCTCAATTTTAAAGAGCCACTTTTTCCTTTTTAATTTTAATATATCTTATATTTCATTAAATTAAAAATGGAAGAAAATCATTATGCACTTTTTATGTGAAAACATTAATAATATTTTTTCATGAGCTAACAAATCAATTATAATATTTTGCTAATTGAGGTGGTACGATCTCATTGTGAATATTATAATAAGAAGTCAATGCAAGACATAAATAACCCCCTCAACACGGATAAGAGTGTCGGCAAATTTGGTGGTTGCCATACAAGGCTTTGTATTGACACTTAGCACGGGCGAACCACTCACATTTATGTGTGGGCCAGCTTCCAGCCCCCAGTGGATTATAGAGAGACATCATAGTGATACAAGCTGCCTCAACTATCAGATGCAAATTGCATAAAAAACTATAACAAGAGAGAAGACATGCTATACAGTACTATACACTCAGAATTTGATGTATGATCAAAACCCTTTTTTTTCCTTTCCTTTTTGGTTGAAATTTAACTAGCAAAATTTGGTAAGGCCTTGCAATATAAACCCACATTTCAGGTCTCTTTTAGTGAGTCCAATAAAGGCTGAGGATCATCAAGAACCCTCATAGGTTTCCAGTCAGATTCTTCCTTGGCTTGTCTTAGAGCCACAAAGTGAAGAGCATCGCTGTGGACTTGATAAACGTGGCACGCCCACGGGTAAGAATCTGGAGCCGACCAAATCTTTTGCTCTTCAAAATCCGTCTCTTCAGCAAGTGATTCAGCTATGCAGTACACTACATCATGTTCGGGTTCAACAAATCTAGCCACCGCAATGCATCCAGGAGATACATATCCCTCCGGGGCCCGAGGATGCCAAATCGATATCGGTGTTGTGTAGTCATCAATGCAGTTCCTCCATACCTGCATATGTGTACATATATTAACCATTTATATAATAGATGACCAAAAATTAGTCATCAATATTTGACCGGAAAAAAGCAATTCTATAATAGGAACCATTAAGCTTATCAGAAAACTTCAAGCTGCATCGGACTCATCATACTTCAATGCCATACGTAATCTCAATCCAATGGTGTTTCCAATATCCCCTATTTTCATTCCAAGTGTTGTTATGTGACAAATCAAATGGTGTTTTGACTTTCACACGTGACCTGACCGTATATGAAAAGAAAACATACATATTTCAACTGAAGATGGGGGCACAAGAAAACACCACAATTCATCGATTACTCTCCCAGTAAGTTATATTGAGAGAGAAGCCATACTACAATGGGGCCAAGCAAGGACCTAGAAGTTCTAATAATCCTAGAGTTATATCGAGAGAGATGACCTGAAAATGTTAACAATCCTAGAGACTAGCCTAACTAGGTTATACCCAGATGAAAAACATACCTAACTAGGTTTTACATTCGTGATTTAATTATAAATTTCTTACCAGGTCATAACCAACTGGAGGTGCAAACAATCTGTCAACCTTACGGTAAACTGCGGCAACGTTTGGAGGATGGCTGCCAATGTGAGCAATATCACCGATGGAGACATACCTGGAAGAACGAAAAAAACACACTTCAAATTTTGCAATGATAACAATTGAGTTAGCAGCATCTGGTGGTGAAATGCGTACTTTTTTTTTTAATTGAAAAGAAAAGCAGACAGGATATACAAACAAACCGCAAACAGGATATACAAACAAACCACAAACAGAAGTTACAACATGGAATGGAGACAATCAAAGTAGAGGTAGCAGTGCAGGGGTATATCCATACTCCACCCAATTATTCAGTTCTTGAAAGTACATGAACCAAAGAGGATGGGAGAAATGCATACTTTCAGGAGACTGAAGGGTTCTACTTTCTTGCAACATATAGCATCTTGATGGCACCACTCGAGACGTGAATTTCGTCTTTGTAAATCACATTATATAGAAGGCAATAAAAGAGAACCACAAACGACCATTTTTGTCTTGTCTTGACTTTTCTCCTTTGATTGGGGAAAAGTGGGATAGGAGGGGCGGGAGTTTAAACCTGTGATATTCCCTAGCCACCAAAGCTTTAGCTCAGCGACAGAAAATGCATTTTCTCGACATTCCAGTCCCTTTCAGTTTATCAAGGATGTAAAGGAAGTTTCTCAAACTTAGTAAGGTTCGGTAACAAGTAGCCTTTAAACAGTATCCTAGCGGCTCAAACCATGTCCTGACAGAAACTTGGGGGTCTTTTAAAGAAAATGTCAATATTCATATAAATATTAACCAAAAAAAAAAAAAAACAGTGCTTTAATTGTGGGAACAGATAATTCACATGAAAATTCGTACTCCAAACTAAAAATTCCTATGACTAATGCATAGAAAAATGCAATTATAGTAAGGAAAGGATTCTACAACTTGGCCATCAAGAAATTGAACTTCACAAGTATTGGCATTCAAGATCTCACACCAAATAAATAAATACAAATATATAGTCACTGATAAAATGGAATTAAATGCAATAAACATTATAAGGTTTTCAAGAAAAATAGAAAACAAAACAATGGTCATAATTACCCGTCTGGACAAATGGGTCTCCAAATGCTACAGATTCCACCATCTCCTGAAACCTGAATGTATGAAATAACGTTTCATCTAAGACTGCACCACCGCAGGGTTCTAAACTCTCGACCAGAAGACAATAAAGTTTCAAAACTGGACACAGGTACAGCAGGAGGAACACTAAATTACCTGCTTTCTGCACAATGTGCATCGGCCTCTGGATTCTTGTTCACTGCTCCAAATCTTTGAAAAGTTAATACTGTGTTTAACAAATCTCCTACCATCCAATGCAGAACTGTCTGATGGGAGCTCTCTCAGCCTGGTAATGGCCTTGTCCGGTAAACGATGTTCTCTCCCATCAGCTTCAGACCAAGAAAAGTACACATGTCGCTGGCTTGATGGAACCTGAGAATGGAGAATCATATTAGGGTTTGGTATATCCTACCTCCTCTACAGGAATTAATACTTTTGTACACTATTGACCTTCAGAATTATGCTTTTCATGTCGGACTGATATGCTTTCCACATCTTACGTACTACAGAACAGATCCTAACAGCTTGGGGTTCTCGTCTCTCAGTTTCTTCTTCAACACTGCACTTTATAACCCGTACAAAATTTTCTGATCTCCTAAAATTTTTGAGGTGGAGGATCAAATGAGATGGCTGATTGCAGCCTGCTTTTGCCAACTCCACGGCCATAAGCTCTTCCCAAGGTACATCCCACATGATCTTGCAAGGTTTCTTATCCATTTTGTCTGGAGCCAAACACTAGAAGGGAAAGAAAAGAGACTGAATGTCAAGCAGACAAACTTGGTAACATACAACAGAGGTATCTACAGGCTATAGCAAAGACTGTTACTAACCTGAAGCAGCATGACTCGCTTATTGGTCACTAAAACAATTCGTTGGTAAGGCACAACAAAATGATCGTCATAATAATCGGACCAAGCAAACTTTGAGGGCTCCTTGAATATTTCAGTACAACCAAAATGCCGATGTGCTTCTGCAAGGTATAAAATCATCTACAAAAAAAAAAAATTTAATAAATAAATAAATAAATAAGAAGTGTACATCAAGATAATAGTGACTGACTACAGCTACACTCCTTTTCCTGAAAATGATAGACCTAGCTGACTAGGGTTGAAGCAGTGTCAAACCAAAATACCAAACACTCACAACTTTTGTAGTTCAGAGGGTAAGAATTAAAAGATACTTTTCATTCATATTTCATACGACATGTATTTCAAGCTTCAACAATGATTCATTAAAGTCAAGAATTAAAATCACAAAAACTCCATAAGGGCTTCATCCTGAACTTTTAACCATCTCAGGCTCACAAAAACCAAGTCATCAAATATTGTATGGATCCTGTATCCTACTCACTCAGACTCGCAGTATTACTAATGCAAATAGTTCCATCCATCACTCAAGTCACCCTTCTCACCAGTCAACTCTCATCCTCTGTTCTGAAGTTTACAAAGTTAAGAAAAGGCTCATAGTTTCTCCGGCTAGTGGGAGATAAAATTTCTAGTATTGCACATAGAATTTACGTAAAAGAGGTAACAAATTACCTGCCCAACAGCTTCTCTCTCACAATACTCTGTGAGTACAGCATCGGCCCTGAAAGCTCGGGGATTTCTAATTCTCTGGAAGGTTGTTTTGCTATTAAAAACCTCTAAGCATTTGGAACAACTTGCTCCAATTCCATCAACAGTCATTGAGAAGAAGTCTAATGCCCCACTGACTGGTTGCACTATCACTCCCACGAAAGCACGTCCAAGTCCATGAACAAGTCCTAAAAATCCATTCTGTCTAGCACTCTCTACAGGTTTTTTCACTACTCCAGACACCCCAAAAGCAACACCTTGCACAAATGCTTCTGTACCTTGCATAATTCCATCACCCACCCCAGTTATTCTCCTTGATGATACCTGAAACCATGTCAAAATTAGCCTTTTGTAATAGAAATGAACTGCTAATCTTTCTTTCTTTGTTGTTTTCTAGGTTAATATGAGAACTTACCTGCTTCGAACGTAGTTGCATAAATTGTCCATCAGTTGACAACTCTGCAAACCCTTTACTAAGAGATGCCAAAGTTGAACTTGTCATACCAAGTACATCAACCGCAAATATCAAATGTAAAGGATTATGGATCAGATCTCTCCAAATACGGTTACCAATGGCAGAAACAATGGAACTCTTCCGCATGAATCTGTCTCGATGCATCACCCTTCTAAGATGCACCTGCAGCAATGAGATATTAGTGTCACGAGCATAGCGTCCATCCCAATATTACCACTACATAATAGATTGGAAACGTGTTAAGTCTAATCATTTTGGCCATACGAATTGCTGCAAATTTAAGAATACTTACAAATGTGAGTAGGAAAAATTGAAAATAAAAAAGTCAATACAAAAACTGTTAAGAAAATCATAGCATTCAACTATGGAACCACCCAATATGCACAGTAAAGCACCCAGATAAGCCAGAGAGCTGACCTGAATCTTGAACGCATTTCCGACAGCTGATAGTATGGGACTCCACACCCCTAGAACCCCATGAGGTCTTTCAGCCGGCGCTGTCTCCAATGCGACCTTCAGCCTAACTTCTGAAACATCTATTAGGCTGGAAAGAAAGGGGGAAAAAGATTAAGGAAATGTCACTCCCATAATCAAATCACAGAAGATTAAGTTCCTGCTAGTTGACAATATAATTCTATTTCCCATCAGTAGACAGAGTTATAAAGTTTGTCGGCCACTTGCAAAATAAGTAGAAAGATGACACTACAAATTCTAGATGTACTATTGCAACACGCATACTATACTGTGTTTAGTAGGTTTGGGGAAACCCAATAATTGACGGGCAGCAAAGACGGAAAACTACAACCTGGCAGCGAGGGGGTTGGAGAAAGAATTATGAAGGTACCAATCCAAGGGGTAAAAAATACTAAGTCACTGAGAACCCTCACAAGAAAAGGAAACATAATTAATACTATTGCAAATGACAAATGGATAAGGACCAAGTTTATTAATTTGCACGTAAGTATTATACACTGATATACAGTTTGAACACGAAAGTTGATTTTTAATAAATAAAAAAAAGCCAAAGCCTTGGCATGTGCACTCAACCACCCAAAAATAAGGATGTTGGTGAAGGAGAAAGCATAGTTCACTTCAGCACACCAGAATTATATCACTGCAAGTCCAATGAATTGCAGTTTTTCAGGACACAAAAACAAGTTGTGATACTTACTCAATGCGTAATTCAGGATCAACTTCGGTGACACTAGAACTTTTAGGTACACGATCTAACTGTAGATTATTGTAGAAATCCACCAATGCCCAAATTATTGGTTCATGAATATTAAGCCTCCAACACTTCTCGGTTACCTATCATGTCATCATAAAATTTGGTCAGAGCTTAGGCAAACATCTCACTGTTGCAATTGATACAGCATCGTGTTAAAAAGAATTACCCGTATATAAACATAGGGGTACACCTGGATTCCATCAATATTTTCATTACGCATTGTTATTGTCATCTTGAACACTGGATGATGCAAGTCAGAGTTCATTTCAGGAGCCAACAACACTGGCATCAATGTTAGAGGAAGCTGGTTATCCAACTGCAAATGGCCCAATATGAGCTTGAACCTGGCAGAAAGGAACATGAATGTTTGGTGTAAGCATTATTTCTAATAAGCAAAGCAACATTTGAGCGATGACGGAGCTGATAACGCGTTATAGACGGAAGATGCTTCAGTCATTAAAATCTAGCACACTTTCCACTATGGAGGCGGAAAACAGAAAAACTGATCAAAAAATTTCAATAATGGCAAATGATAGTCACATATACAAACAATTAAAATAAAATTCCAAAGCAATTTTAATTTTTATATACATCTACCCATATTTTTGTTCACACATTTAAACAAAACAAGCTGTACAACCTTTTTCTCCTCTCTCTCTCTCTCTCACAAATGTATCAACCTTTGTCTCTTCTATGACTCACAAACAAATGTATTAACAATCGTCAATAAGGATGTTTTCATCCCCAAAGAGTAGGCCAAACATAGAAAAATGTTGTTTTTCTTTAAAATAAAAAGAAACCTGTTAGTTTTCTTATGAATCTTTACTCTAGCTGGATGTTTCTACTGGCCACATAACCTCTTCAGAGCAATAAGAGCTACAAGAAGCCACACAATTTGCTCCCAACCAAAAGGAATATACTGTGCACATTGCACGTTTTAAAGAAACATCAGGGCTGGTTGAGTCTACTTACCATGAGAATACCATAAGGCATTAAGATGCTATTTCTTTATTAGAAATGGTCCATACAGTTCACAGCTTCAGATAGTTATCTTTGTGGAAAGTTATTTTGGTGGGCTCTTGTACTCTCATTTTCATCTTGGCGCTTCATTATTTTCTAGCTTTCCATCGGTTTATTTGTGATGCCAGTGGGATTTATTCCCAACAAATTTGTCAAGCAATAACGTCCCCACATTTAATATTTAAGAAAATGCATCTATAATTCATATATATTTCCTATAACTAGGGAAATGTCTGTAAACATCAGATGATTCAAACTTTATTAGAAAACTGTTTTATTAGGGTTTTGATTCCAACTTTCATACTGACAATACTTTCACAGCCACAGTTCACCAAAGACTTGGTTGGTTTACTAAGGGTAATTTTTCTCACAACATACTGAAAGTGGTATTTTAAAAGTCACAACAATACCAAACAGGTCCTTGATTCTATAAACTATCAATATGACATTCTTAGGTATTGAAATGATTCTTTTGGGCACGCAAAAGAAATGATTCTTTTACACTGCTTCATATTTATTGTATCCTCTATTGGTTTCATAAGTGAGGTAACTGTCAGTCAAGAGTCCTAATTAATGTATTCAATAGCTCCTTTTATTTGATAAACCTGTTTCGCATAACATGACAACTGACTCACACGTTGAAGAAAATGTTATAGGAGTTTAAGAAGGTGATGCTCTTACCTGGCCGTTGTCCCACCATCATAACCAGTTGAATATGATATGAAGACTCTCTCAAAATACAAGTAGGACACCTCTTTTGGTCTATGGTCTATAATAGAGACCCCGACAACTCCAAACTCAATTATAAGCTCCACAGGTGTGGCACCATTATTTTGAATGGTGTTTGGCATGTGGGAATGCCCCCAATTTCCAGCAAGTTGCTGATGTGAACTTGTCCCTGAAGTTGTGGCGTTTGTGAACCTTGCTACCTTGATATCACTGGTTTCTATAACATGAAATTGTAATCCAAGTCCCTCCTCTGTATAACATATCCCAGTCCTTTCCAAATCAAGTTCCCAAGGTCCAATTTCGAGCTCACTGTCAACCTTAGCTTGTATGAATTTTTGGCCATAAGGATCCTCCCATGAAAAATTTGTTGTCGAAAGAGGTGCTATGGGAATCCAGGCATCTTCACCAAAACCCGATTGACGAATGCTAATTGTTTTGCTGTCTGTTCTGTTCTCGATTCTGACGATGCAAAGGTTTAATAGGTTAGTCACATCTCTCTCTCTCTCTCTCTCTCTCTCTCTCTCTAAATATATCTAAATATATATATATAATATGTTTGTACATATATACATATATATAAAATATGTTTGTACATATATATGTATATACACACATGAAATCTGTGTGTGTGTGTGTGTGTGTGTGTGTGTGTGTGTGTGTGGTGCGTGTCCATGTACAAACACACAAGTACCTGATAGGACCATTGGTTGATCCAAGGCGGAACAGAACGATGAAACGTGAGCCTTCTTCATAGCCCCGAATTTCTGTTCTCAAAAATGTCCTAGTACCACAATGCTTCCTCAAAACAAGAGATATAGTGTCCTCCTTTACAATTTGAACGGGAAATGACCAGTCGGTGTCTTCTAATCGAACCTAAAAATGTAATAGAACAATATAGTAATAAAATTTGCCAAAGTGTATAAGATAAAATCTCTTGATCGTGACAGTAGTTAAAGGAAAAATTCTGAATAGTTGGTTGATAAAATGCAAACCTCATGGAACTTGGAAGGAAAATTGAAAGTTCACTAAGGATGAAATCAAGATTGCACTTCTACGTAGTTAATTTTGAACACTTACCCTCAATCTCATGAATAGCACCTTTTCTATGACCTTATACAGACTTGTGACTGAACATATGGGGCTAGTTATTTTTACTCTCAATGACTGGGTTTTCCATGGTATGTAACAAATATAAGTTATACTAGTACAAGCTTTAACAACTTGGTGTAGAAAAAGTTCCCAGAAAACCTTCAATAAGTCAACTTTGACAACATCCCAAAAATCTTGAGAAACCACCATCTGATCTGGATCATATGTTTCAAACCAGTCAAACTCAGATTTTCTAATTTCATTATCATCGAAAGGTGTTCCCAGCCAACTAGCTTTCTCCACAAAAATTGAGCACCAATCCAGTTCTTCCATCATAAATGCCACCTTTTCATCTTCAGTACAGAGCCAATAAAAGAGTAATTACTTCAAATTCACAACTACCTCCACGATCTCTATAATGTTACCCTTTCCATCCTCAAACTTATTTGTCAGACTGGTTCACTCTCCTACATTCCTAGCGCTAGCCTACGCTCCTATGGTCCTACCGCTTTTTTTCCTTTTGCCTCCAAGAAAATTCCCTTAAGATTCATATTTGAATTTGAATTTATTCCTAATTTCACATCTCTTTCTTCTCAGCTCTCCAGGAACACACTGTTTTTCTGCCTTTAATTTTTTTCTTTTCTTTTATGTTCTAAGTTAGTTATATTTCTCAAGTCATGTTAAGCAATGCAAAAACGCTCGGACTTGAGAGGGAGTGTTGCAGAACAAAGTATATTGTAAATAAATTATAAGAATATTTGGCTTTCAATTCAGGTTGGGATTGTGATCTAATTTCTTCAGTCAAGTGATTTGGTTGTTAATTAGTTTCCTACTAGTGCTACGATGAAATTTCCTAAGTGATTAGGTTGCACCTTATTTGGATCCTTTTAGGATTAAGATTAATGTACCTCATGCTGCCTTATTTTTCTCAACAATGGGCATAAACTTTAGGGTTAGGTCTATAGGAGGGTCATGTCAACAAGTAATGATACAAGGTTGATTGGTAGATATGTCAAGATACGAGGTTGATTGGTAGATATGTCAAGACAATAGTATTATAACAATTTGCACTCCACTAACCTGAAGTTTATCAGGTCCATCTGATTTACGATGTACAAATGAGACTCTTGAATCAGTTGCTCGAAGGACCTTTGGTTCATCTTCATTGCACAACTTAATAGATATGTCCTGACCAAGTCTGTTGGTAAAAGTCATATATGGTCGCACAGAAATTACCTGGAAAGAGGGCAAAGAGTAAATGACTAATACAAAGATTCATTGCAATCTCTCATATTTATAACTACCTTTGTGGGAACAGATTGATATAGGCATGGTTTCGTTGTAATAAAAAGCCTCATGCAATTGCCTTCACCATCATAAGCATAGAGATCCAGTGACCCATCCTAAAAACAAGAAAAGGGAAAATCTTAATAAGACTTCTTTACCAATAATGTCTCAATTAAAAGTTAATATTGATTGACATCTACCATGTCACCAAGGGGTGAAAGATCTTTAACAGGTCCAAACTGCTCCATGCCAGATTGATCAATGGACACCGCAAGGCCCAACATTTTAAAGTTCAAAGCTGAAGCAATTGTATTGCCTTCATATATTTCCTCTTCAGTTATTTCCTCTAGGATAGCTTCATTTTTCTTTTTAGATTCAAGTGGACCACCAACCTTGCGTGTATGTTTCTTTCCTTTTATATCTAGAAGCCTAAATGTGAGAGGGGGACACCTAGCAATTGAATACCAATAAGGAGCATAGACTCTAACAAGCTTAGCCTGCAGTGGTCGTTCTTGGTTAGAGTTCTGTTCAAGAATGATTTGAACAATCCTGCAGAAACAATACCTAGCAAGATTAGACCATAAAAGAAACAGACTTCAATAAATGTACAAAAGAGCTAAGATATTCAATACAATATATTATGCAAATTATTCAATTTGAAACCTTCCAGATATTGAACTTCTCAGACTTATGGTTTTTGACGGAACTTCATGAGGATGTGATAAAAGAACAGCCTCCTGCAAACAAATAAATGAAATGGTCGGATTTACAAACATTTTATGCCAAACAAAAATATCAGCATAAGAAAAGAGCAAGGAATAGATTGGTCTTGAAAGCTTACATGTATGGGCAGCCACCCTCTTTGTGGAAGCAGTGAAAAAAACAAAGGCTTTCTTATGTCAGCATTATAAACATCGACAGTTTTTCCTGGAAAAAACACTCCTCTGGAGCAGGCAACAAAGTTACCACTTTCTTGCATCTCAAGAACAGAAAATTCAGCAGCAAGTGGAATAAAATTGGAGACGCATAACGGGGACTTGATTACAAGATTCCAATCCTGGATAGGATCAGAATGAATGTCTTTTGCAATTTCTGTTGCTTGTACACTCATACAAAACCACAACTTATGCAGAACACTTGAAGAAGTACCACTTATCTGGGTGCAATACAACAGTTCCTCTGACTCAGTAAGAGATGACACACTTATCCCGGAACATAGTTTTGACTTACTAGAATCCTCTGCTTGTTCAGACCCATCCACCACTGAACTCCAAGAAAATTCAATAGGATTGCTGAGATTGGACGGCCTTAAACGCAAGACATACATTCCAGGTTGTGCTAACCCAGAGAGAGGAAGGGATATCGTATCTCCAGGTTTCAAAATTCCAATATGTATTTCTTGATTTGTAACATTTTGTTTTCTATTCCTGATCCATCTCCTTTGCCTTGCATAGTTTAAGGGATCAAATGACTCCGACCATTTTAAACTATCAACATCTGGAGCATAAACCCAACTGTCAGCAGTGTTGACAGATGCCATATCCAAATGCCAATCATCAACCCATTCCCAGCCTGGTGGT